GAACTTCTTACTCACGTTTATTAGATTTTAACTTAGTCAATAAGAAATATAATTTGATCACAGGTCAATTCTGTTATTTTCTTCAATTGTCGACATTTTGCACGGTCGACATTTTTCTACATCGACACTTTTCTTTTGTCGGCACTATGCTTTTCGACATTTGTCTGCCGACATTTTTCTGTCCACCTTTTGCTACTTTTCTGTTATTTTGAGTTAGTGTGTCGTCGATTTTGACTGAGCTGTGAAATTTCAGTAAAAATAAAAAGTCTCAGAAATGAAAAGAAATTTTGAAGAAAGGATCCATGGCTTTGTTCTGTGCTTCAAAGCGAATCGAACGGCATCAAAATCAAGGCTTCGACTGTTGAGCAAAAAAGACTGGATAGGTTTGCAAGACGAAATGCGAGGAATTTGACATCCCTCGCTTTGAATCCGCACCAAAAATCCATTTTTCAGCGCCCAGCGTTTTGAAATAGATTTTCATACAAAGTTTTCGGCGCTGATTTCGAAAAACGACGTTTCCAGGTTTCAGACGAATATGGAACTAAAATATTAGATTCTTATTGAAAATTAGATATCAAAAAAGACTATATTTTATTTGAAGAAGAAAAGCGCAGAGAACAAAGACAGAAAATATTCTTCGTGATTTTCGATGTCTAAAGGTTAGAACTCAAAAGCATGTAGAAAGACACTAGTAACTGCTCAGGGCTATAAAAGGCACTATGTTTACCACCACGAAAGCAGACGCGTATAGAGTCATCTTTTCTCGCATTATTTTGAAGCGCTTAGAATGAATAATAATCTTTGATTTTCATTTGTTTTTTATCTTCTTTATGCCGTGCGATATTCTGTAGTTAAGCAGTATACAGTTCGCAGCTGCCCGAGGAATCATTACCACCTGTTACTAATATTTTTCCTGATGGTAACAACGTTGCAGTGTGGTAATCGCGTTTTGCTAACATGTTGGCGGCTGGAGTCCACGTATTTGAGGAAGGATCATACAGTTCGCAGCTGGAGTATCCGCCCGAGTAACCTACACCACCTGTTATTAATACTTTCCTCGATGGTAACAACGTTTCAGTGTGGTGATACCGTGCTGATGACATGCTGCCACCTGTAGTCCACGTATTTGAGGAAGGATCGTACAGTTCACAGCTGCCCGAGAAATCATCACCACTTGTTACTAGTACTTTCCCCGATGGTAACAACGTTGCAGTGTGGTATTTACGTCCTGATGACATGCTGGCGAGCGTTGTCCACGTATTTGACGAAGGATCGTATAGTTCGCAGCTGCCCGAGGAATCATCACCACCTGTTACTAATACTTTTCCTGATGGTAACAACGTTGCAGTGTGGTGATAACGTCCTGATGACATGTTGGCGGCTGGAGTCCACGTATTTGACGAAGGATCGTACAGTTCGCAGCTGGATAAGCTTTCCCCGTAGCTTAAACCACCTATCACTAATACTTTCCCGGATGGTAACAACGTTGCAGTGTGGTAAGCAGGTGCTGATGACATGGTGGCGGCTGCAGTCCACGTATTTGAGGAAGGATCGTACAGTTCACAGCTGCCCGACGAACCATCACCACCTGTTACTAATATTTTTCCTGATGATAACAACGTTGCAGTGTGGTAGTCGCGTTTTGCTGACATGTTGGCGGCTGGAGTCCACGTATTTGAGGAAGGATCGTACAGTTCGCAGCTGGACAAGCTTTTCCCGTCACTATAACCACCTGTTACTAATACTTTTCCTGATGGTAACAATGTTGCAGTGTGCTGATAACATACTGGTAACTGTGCTCCAGGTATTTGTTCTGCTACCGTTACCTAAGAGACAGAGAAATAGTGCAAAGTTCTTTTCTTAGATTATAGATAAAGAAACGTTCAAGTGGTTCACTAGTATAATGAGCAATTAGTTATGTTGCTGAGAGCTTGATGAATTAGTAATGAAGAATAATTTTTAGCATAGTTTCTTCTAGAGTGTAAATAAAGGTTTTTCCAGAAGTTTCCTTACGGTGCTTTTACAAAAAGAGTTATATAGCGCGACACGCGAAAGAAATGCTCAGATTGGATCTTCTTTTCTTTTCTTACCAAATAGTTTTAAAGAATCTTTTCCTTGTGGCGATTCCATGTAAAAGTTGTTTACTTTTGCACTCGAAATGCGTAATACTGTTGTCCTGTAATAATCTACAAAAGTTTTAGAAAGATACCGACATGTGATGATAAGTCGAAAAAGAAAATCAATACGATTGATCGTTTCATGCATGAGAAAAATCAGTTGCAAAGTGTAATGGTGCATTTGCATTGTTTTGGAGTTTAACCCATCCAGGCTACAAATGGACTAGTTATAAAAAGACTTACGACTCAAGTTCTAACTAGTCCAAAGGCGGAAAAGTGACTTTGGTGGCCAACTATTTCTCGTTTGGAGCACCTCGAAATAATGACTAGTTCGGACAAGTAACTAATCCCAAAAATCAGCTGATAAAGTAACTGGTCTCGGTTATTTACCAAATTAAAAATGAATTTCAGAGATGAGAGTCAACCCCACTAACATCTACATGTTGTATGCGCTCAGACTGCTAGGTCTGGATGCATCTTTATTATGTATGTATACCAAGACTAGTCAGAATACCAACATGTGCTTAGATACTTGCACCAAATAAGAACAACTTGAAATGTTGATTTTCTAGTAAAGTATATGAAAATACAACATAATCTCAACGGTATTTTGATATCAAAGTGAGCAGGCGAAAAAAAACCCTCCCACCATTCTTCTGCATATTTTCAGCGAATAAATATTCTTCCGCATATGTGACCACTTTCGATTGATGGTTTTCTTACACAACGATACTATCAAATTGCAAATATTTATTCTGCCGTATGTCAGCTGGAGTTCTGTAGGTTTAATTTCGATTCTACTTTTTGACTGTGAATTGTTCATGCTCGTCATTTTCGCTGTTTCGATTACCGATTGACTTTTATTATTCTACCCCTACGTGTAAAGATTTACTAATGTGGAAATAAAAGAAAGCACTACTTCACTTGGAAAACATTTTCAGGTTCAAGCGACTTTGAGACGAGTTAGGGTTTGAAAAACCGAGAGCGGTATTGAGATCTAGCAAAGATTCCTGTGGATTCAGATTTCTGACGGATTTCAAGTCTTCGATAAAAGAAAACTGCTAGATATCCCTTTCTTGTTGTCTTGTTTCTTGTTGTCCACATTCTGTCAACGAATGTGCTAAAATGGTTTACTAGTTATTTGACTAACCGCTTCCAGCAAGTACGTGTTGGCGCTGCTTTATCTACGCCTACGCCAGTGCTCTCCGGGGTAGTACAAGG